ATCTCCACCTGGAAGGATCGTACGATCTATATCAATGGAATTTTCTCTCATAATACAAAATTCCAGTGCAACATTAATTTGCCGGAAAAGTGAGTTATAGCTCAAAATATCATTTTTAATAATATCTAACATGATTATAATTAGTATGTCTCCGAGGAGTCTGTGGATGTAATTGTCGAAGCTGGTGTAACCACAGTAATGATAAAAAAAGCCGTAAAGAATTTGAAAATATCATAATTTCTTATGTATATGTTTTAATTTTCCTTTGCTGTATTTGCTTGCTAAAAATTCGAAGTCTAGTATTACTATAGTATTACTTTAAAATAATATCGATATACAAGGAGAAAACACTATTTTTAAACGTTTTAAATAAGGAAATTAATAACTCTTTTATTAAAGTTAAAAAATGAGAGTAAGTTTTGACTTGCTATATTCTAAACTAGTAAAAAAAAGTACACTTGCGCTTCGGAGTTAACCGTCTCCGCGATATCAGGTTTATAAATTCTGGTAGTTTTCCATGACATAGAGGTCAGTTTAATTCCTTAGGATAGATTTTATAATATGTATAGAACGCAATGTACATATAAATTATTTAATTAAATTAATTTACAAACATACACATTTCAACAGTTCAATTATTAAATCTCCTGATTTTAAAAAAAATAAAAATAAAAATACATAAACTATAGAATATACATAAAATCGGGATGCAGATCACCCAAATTTCTAATTTCTTCTTCACTTTTTCCTTGCAAAAATGATTGTGGATTTTTCCTCTTTTTCTCATTTAAAGTTTTATAAATAAAATATTGTAAGGCTGCAATACAAGTCGCAACAACCAAACATCCCAAGGCCATTGAATTACCAAATGTATAATTTGGAGAATCTTTTTCTCGATAAATTTGTGATGCTATTATACCACCTATATTTGCACTCATTAATACCATTCCTGCCGCTATACCCCTTTTCGCGTGACCTGCTATGTTATTCGCTATCCTGTTAAAATGAACGAAGAAATTGGAACATAGGGATGAAAGAGAAAGGTAAAAACATGTTAGAAAGGATCAAAAAAAAAAAAAAAAAAGACAAAAAATTATAGAATTTACCAAGCGACTGCAGTCGTGACAGCAGGAACTAAACCCGTTCCAACAATACAAGCTCCAACATATTTTGCTAAATAATAATTTTCAATTTTCAAATTTATGTACAAATAAAAAAAAAACTATGTTCAATTCTCAAAAATATTTGCTTACCAGGGGCGCTTAATGAAGGTATGATTAATAGTATATAACCCAAAATTCCAATAATTGAAGACAAAATCATAATTGGACCACGAACACGTTTACGATCCGAAATAATTGCGACAATTATTGTCGATACACCAGCGCAAAAGAATGGTGGCATTGAAAGTAATTGTGATTTGAC